TTTCCCTCTCTTTTTGCCTTCAGCACGTGCATGTGTCCTATAGCACTTTCTTCTGAGAAGAGAGAGACAGATAGAAAGAGACAGGGAGAGAGAAGTAACCCCAATAGGGTCTTTGTGCTGTGATCCGCCACCTCGCCCCCAGCCTCAGCCATCCGGGATCATAGGCACTTACATTGCTCAGTATGTACAAGGAGACCTCGGAATGCAAACCTGGAACCTTTCCATGTGGCTTCAGAACTAAAGGATATTGTGTTCCCACTGCACCTCCACAGTTGGCCACAAACATGCTTTTACATGCATGATTCATTGTGAACATGTATGCCTACCTGTTTTCTGTCAAGCACTCCACAACAGACTCAGGAAAAGACTAACAGCACTACCCTGGTCGTTAAGGAGCTCCCAGTCTGTGGGAGAACAGCCATCTGATTATGACAGTGTGGGAAGGTGGAGGGAAGTGCAGTGTCCTCATGGAAGGCCCCAGGGCTCAGGAGTAGGTCAAGGATGGCCCCCTTTTGTGTCAAGGGAGCAGTACAAGTTTGGGAATTGGGGTGTACTTGGGTGGTGTGAGATGAAGTTCATCAGTCAGAAGGAATTACGTGTAGGAAGTTGTGGAGACAGGAAGAAAAATTGCCCCTCTAGGTATCTGCAGATAGTTTCAGTCAGAGGATCTCGAATGCTGCACAAAAGAACTTGAACTTCATCCAGAATCTAGTAGGAAACCTTTAAAGGCCTTTAGCTAGCAGCTATGCCCAGAACTGAATTTTAGAACAGATCAAGGTGGACAGAAGAATGGAGGGGTGGGCAGATGCAAAGCCTGGGAGGCTAGTTAGACACAGAGCTGTACACGCTCATGTCTGTCCACACTGGAGATGGGAATGGGTGAATTAGGGCAGGAGGGATGGTGAAGACCTGGACTGTATCTGCCCCATGTAAATAAGGCAGCCCCTTCTCTGTTACTTACATAGTCACAGAGACACAGTCCCGTGTTTCATAGCTTCAGCTTTTCAAGAGAAGTCAGAATCTGAATTTTTATGAAACTTCCCTATCTTTTTTATTAAATAATGATTTTATTTAATACTATTCATTCTCTTTATTTTATTTTATTTTATTTTATTTTATTTTATTTTATTTTGAAGTTGATCAAAGAGAAACAGAGAGAGAGAGAAAGAAAGAGAAAAGGCAAGCTGCCGGGTCTGAGACTCAAACCACAGTCAGCCATGTGGCAGTTCAGCCGCTCTAACCATCATGCCACCTGCCAGCCCCAAACCTCCTTATCTTCATAAAGAGAACTATTTATTAAAAATTTAAATTATTTATTTTAATTTTATTTATTAATATTTTAAGATTTGCTATAGGGCACATTTGCTCACCAGAGAGAGACAGATAGAAAGAGAGAGGGAAATTGAGAAAGCCAGCTACTGGCTCTGGGAGTTGAATCGCAGCTGGCCATGTAGAGTCCAGCACCTTTAACTACCATGGCACTTGGTGACCTGAAGAGAAATTTTTAAAAGTTCAAAGCACCTGATAACCAGACTATGGGTATGCAGGTATTCGCCTCCTTTGAGTTAGGAAGCTGTTCTGTAATGAGTACAGCTATGTAGGTATGCAGTAGGACTTCATCTTTACATTGCATATGTCAATATAATGAACGTATAAATAGTGATATCTAATTACATTGAAAAAATTACTTTCTTTGGATTTAATTTTATTTGAATTCAGTACTTTTAAAAATTATTCAGAGCTTTTTTCTTTTTTCTTTTTTTTTCTTGAGATTTTTGCTATAGGGCTCATGCCCTCACCAGAGAGACAGAAAGTGATAAATTACCCCCCAAAGAGGGATGGCCATGCCACAATCCCTTCTCTTCCATTCTCCTCTCAGGATTTTGGGAATGCATGCATACACACCTGGTGTGAGTTTTAAGCCACCGGGTCTGGGACTTGAACTGCAGGCAGCCATGTGGAACTCCAGCAATGTAACCATTACATTGCTGGTCCCTAAAATTATCCACAGTTTTAATCAATACATTAAACCACATAGGAACCAGATTATTTAGATTCTTTTTTTTTTTTTCTCTCTAAACTAGTTAACTGGTCTTTAAATACATGTATACCATTTACATTTTATATATTTCTATTTTTCCAAGTATAAAATAGCAAGTTTTGGCAATTTGAAATATTGATAAAGCTGTTAAATACACATACACACACACATATATATATACATACATATATATATATATATATATATATATATATATATATATATATATATATATATATATATATATATATATATATATATATATATATATATATATATATATATATATATATATATATATATATATATATATATATATATATATATATATATATATATATATATATATATATATATATATTCTAAAGCAATTTTTATGTGTTTTGATATGATCTTTAACTTTTTCTTGTCATAAGAATTTATTAACTTCCGGGAACCAGCAGTTAGCGTAATGGCTATGTCACTGGACTCTCACGTAGTTGACCGCGGTTTGTGTCCCGGACCCGGTGGCTTAGAACTCACGCTGGGCACGTGTGCATGCGTGCCCAAGATCCCGAGAGGAGAATGGAGGAGAAGGGATTGCGGTGTGACCATCCCCCCTGGGGGGGTTATTTCTCGCTTTCTGTCTCTATGTCTCTCTCTGTGTCTGTCTGGCGAGCGCACGCACCCTATAGTGAAAACCTCTCAAAAAAATAAAAAGAATTTACTAACTTAATTAATTATTGGGTCATTGGAAAAGTCATCACATATTTTTTCTATGCAAAAAAAGTGTCATGACTTTTCAGATGGCCCAATAGTTTGTAATACCTAATGAAAGATGTAACTCCTAAATAGTTCTGCACGTACCCAGCACATCTTCCTGTTGACCCCAATGCTATGTTCGCTCTTGCAGGACATTGCTTATTACCAAGCCTTGTCCCCTGAGAGGTTGCAGACAGATGCTGCCAGGATTCACCCCAGCACTTCATCACCCCAGGAGTTCTATGAATCAGGACTGGAGCCCTCTGCTACAGCTAAACTGGGTGATCTACAGCGCTCTTGGGAAACCTTAAAGAATGTGGTAAGTCTTTAAAACACAGAATAGCTCAAGCCCACCAGACACCAATTACCTCAGGGAGGGGCTAATGAAATACATGTAGAGAATTTACACACGCAGTGTACACCTCAGTATTCTCTGTTGAGCCAGTGGGTAAAGCAGTGAAGAAAGCAGTGTTGTAAGCAGGGAGATAAGGGGCTAGGGAATGTTGGGCAATATCCCCTTTCTTACCTAGATCAGTGAAAAGCAGCGCACACTCTATGAAGCTTTGGAACGCCAGCAAAAGTACCAAGACTCCCTGCAGTCCATCTCTACAAAAATGGAGGCCATCGAGATGAAACTCAATGAGAGCCTGGAGCCTGGCAGGAGTCCAGAAAGCCAGATGGCAGAGCATCAGGTAAGAACAGCCATGAACCCCGCTTCCTGCATGATTAAACAGGTGCTCATGTGACTGAGTGGCCTGTCACATGTGCTGGGGAGAGAAGACTGACTTTGTTCGTTTGTTTGTTTTTTATCAGTTTGGGAGGGTAAATAAAATTCTGAACCATGGTTGTTTCCACCCTGCTTGAGAGAGGGCTCTGAGACAGATAAGAAATTCAGACCTTGAATCTAATTAATCCACATGCACTGATGTTGCCTTTTTTTTTTTATTACACAAAATCTGTTTCCTCTCAGTTGCCACATTATCCTGATTTTGTCATTGTCAGTAAGAATAAAATGTACTGCAAACCTTCTTCTGAGCGTTGTAGTTTTGAGAAGTTTAGCCAGTTTGTAGCCCCCAACCCTCATATTCCCTTAATCACCTAAGAGAATACGTCTCAGATTATAAAGGACAAAGAAGCCACTCAGGGAAGAGTTCAAAGTTGTAAACTTGCAATTGTTCAAGACTGGAATCCTGGAATAATCTTCTTCTTTTTTTTTTTTTAATTAAGGTTATACAAACTAGACAAAGCTTTAATTTCATATGCAAATTGGAGATGATTGTGTCAACCTAACTTACAGAATGTTTAAAAATACATCAGTTGGGCCAACTTGCTGTGTTGGTTAAGGTGGCTGGATCTCACATGGTCAACTTCATGGTTCAAGTCCTGGATCCAACAATTGAGAAACAAGTCAGTTGCATGTGTATGTGTGCCCAAAATTCCAATAGGAGGAAGAGATGGAAGAGAAGGAATTGCAATGTGACCATCCCCCACAGGGGTGCCTTCTCATTTCCCTTTCTTTCTCTCTCTCTGTCTCTCTCTGGCAAACACACATGCTCTCTGATAATTTTTTTAAAAATTGCATTAATTTAAACTGCATGTTAAGAAGTGCCATATATTAAAATCTAACTAATGCTTTAGGAATATTATCATGTGTTCCATTAAGGCACAGTCATGTGTAGTAAAACTGGGATCTAAGGTCAGTGAGGCACGCATTCAGCTATGCATTCAGTCACCACCATTTGGGTAAAAGCTACCTATCCCCAACCAGAACCCAGGAGCATGTGACAATGCTATGAAAGGCAGAGGAGAAGAAAGCTAATTTTAGATGTTAAGAGCTATGAAAACATGGTGTGCTAAGTGTGTCTATCAAGGACAGAGGAATGTATCTATGTGAAGAGTGGCCCTCTGTACTGTGTCTTTCCTCACTTCATGTCTTTCTAGTTTTGGAAGCTATCATAGCCTAGGAATATGTTGCTTGTTCATACGTGTAGTCAGATAAAATGGTGCTCTTTTGCAATATAGGACCTTTCAGTTTAACACAGAAAAAGAACATTTCAAATAGAAACAGCACATTGAGAAATTGTGGTTTCAGGTTTTTGACACTCTGGTAATTTCTTCAGATAGCAATCAAAGAGCTCATCCACTTTTAGACCCTATTTAGTTAAAACTTTGAAGGACTTTCTGCTGTCCCAAAGTCACCTATGATCAGTCAGCTTCAGAGAGGCTGCTATAAAAATATGAAATTAATATTAAACTTTTCCTGGACCAAATCAGTCATGAGGACCATCGTGGACTTAGCCGACTGTTATCATGCTATTTTTTCCAAATTCACCTTTTCTTTCTCTCTTTCTTTCTTTCTTTCTTTCTTTTTTTTCTTTCTTAAGGTTTTTGCCATAGGATGTGTGTATTTGCTGGAAAGAGACAGAGAGAGACCTTGAGAGGGAAAGTGAGAAATTACTCCCCTAGACGATGGCCACACTGCAATCCCTTCTCCTCTCTTCTCCTCTGAAGATTCTGGGTGCACACACACATGCACACATGCCCTATGGTAAGCGTGATTTTCAATCAACCAGATCTAGAACTCGAACCACAATCAGCCATTTGGAAGTCCAGCCTCTTAACCACCAGGGCACCTGCTGACCCCTCCACCCATTTTTTTTTTTAAACTAAACTAATAACTTTTCCAACCCCTTTCTTTTCTAGAGGATCCTCAACGTCTTACAGCCTTCTTTAACTGATGTTATAGGTTTGTTGGTTTGTTTTTAAGTAGGTATTTTTTTGTTTTTCTTGAGAGAGAGAGAGGTAAGGGAATACTCTTGACACAGATTCATGACACTGACGTTCTTTCCATTTTTCCAGCCAGCTGGGATTATGGACACCCTATTATGTTCAGGTCAACCTGGGATCGGAATCTGGGGCCTTCCCTTGTTGCTCCAGTATGGCAAAGCAGTGTTCACCCTTACCACCATGGCTGGGTTGATATTCTAGTTTCCTAATTGCCAAAGGCCATTTCATTCTCATCTGAAGGACTTGTCCCTGTTGGTTGTCCCAGTACACTTCCTAGGGCTCCTTACTCTTCTTGGGCCCTGCAGTTCTGTCCTGTCATCCCCGTACCTCTGCTTCATGAGACCTTGAGGAAGGGAGAATGTCCCTCCAAATGATTGCAGCTCCTCAGGCCAACTTTGATGGGCTGCCCTTTAAAAGTCTGCAGGTTTTTTTGTTTTTGTTTTTGTTTTGTTCTTGTTTTTGTTTTTAGAGGTTTTTGCTATAGGGCATGTGTGCTTGCCAGAGAGACAGAGAGAGACAAAGAGACAGAAAGCGAAAAATCACCTCCCTAGGGGCAATGGCCATGCCGCAATCCCTCTTTCTCCATTCTCCTCTTGGGATCTTGGACATGCACGCATACACGCCCAATGTGAGTTTAAGCCACTAGATCCGGGAATTAAACTGCAGTCAACTACATGGGAGTCCAGCGACATAGCCATTATGCCAACTGCTAGTCCCAAAAGTCTCCTTCTTTTAACCATCCGAAAGTAATGTGGAATAAATTGTCCATTCGTAAATTGAATTAGGGTGAATTTGGGGTCACACACTCAGAGTATCAGGAGCTAGATTTCCTGGAGAAGCTTTAAGCAGTTTGATTCTTTCTTTACCTCAAGGTCATCTCCACTTTTGTTCAAGGTCCATCATCCTGTGGCCTGAGTGACTGACTAACCCCAAGCCCTCACTGGTTCCCAAGGGATGTATGCACTGTATGAAAACTGAATCCAGTGGCCTGCCCTGGCACTCTGGAGTTCCTAGTGGAGAATGCAGAGCAGTTCCCAGTCAGCACCACATTTGCTTAGTCGTTAGTAGGACCGTGTACAAAACCTGATGTAGAGCAAAATTATGATTTTGTGCAAGGGATTTAATGAAGACAATTCAAAATTGTACGTTAATGCTAAGTATTACTGATTAGCAGTGAATTTGTGACTTCTCTGGTAAGTAAGGCCAGCCAAGAGCCTTTTGTCCATGCCTAGGTTGGGAGTGGTGGTGTTGACCATCTCAGCAGTGGAGGTTAATTCAAAGACTACCAGTTATTGGGGCTTGACAATGACATGAATGCTCTAATGGGATATCAAAAATATAAATAATGTATAATCCAGTATAATTTCTTATATCATCACAAATCTAAGATTTTCCATCTGTGCTATTTTTGCTAACTTTTTTTAACCATCCACACCTACGTTCTGCAGATTCTGGGACAGAACTGCCCACATGAAAAGCTAATCATTTTCTCAGTATCTAAATTTGTCCCAAGCTTCTGGAATGGTACGTTAAAAATTCCAAGCACTATCGTAGAATTACTATTTCTGCATTTAAACTGGTGGGTGTGAGAAAGTCCAGTATGCTTTTTATGTTTCCTAAAAATTGATAGAAGTACTTCAAATGTTATTTTTTTCCTGACACTCTTTTAGAGAGCTTTTAAAAACAGCTAACCTAATTTCTACCTTTTCCCTCTAAACTCTTGTTTGAATCTACTGAGTTGGGGTGAGTACTATGCCTTTCTTATTATCCTTTCTAAATCACACCATATACTCAACTTGAAGACTGGAATGTAGTTCATAAGCTGACCTGTGGCTAGTGTTCTGGGTATTTGCTCCTCTGTGATCAAAGCTTTCATTATGATGGGCATCTGATGTTTTTCAGGCATGTTGAATAGACCACAGTAAGTTCAATGATAGTAGGCAGAGCTCTGAGGTTGCTTTATTTTTGTTTTTAGATTTTTTTTATTCCATATAAGCACTTGCAGGAGAGAGACAGAGAGAGACAGAAAGAAAGAGAAATCACTCTCCAAGGGGCCAGGCCATGCCACAATCCCTTCTCCTCCATTCTCCTCTTGGGATTTTCTGCACACATGCACACATACCTGGCATGGCGGTCAGGCTGCCGAATCTGGAACTCCAACCATTGAGTCAGCGATGTGGAATCCAGGACCTTAACTACTATGCCACCTGCTGGACCATGGTTCTTGTTTTGTAATATATATGACAACTCGGAGTGTGAAAAGAACCATGTTGATGTAGATAGTTCTGAAAACCTACATGAAATGAATGTTCCCATTGATTGAACTAAATATAAGCTCTATATTTGCCTTTACTTTAAAAGATTTTATCATTTTAAACCAAGTGTCATACATATATCCTTCTTATCAGAAACCCAAAGATGGGCATTTCATCTCCCTCTCCTTCCTTATTTATTTTGTCAGTTATGAGATGTGCGCAAGAGAGAGTGAGGGGAAGACAGGCCTCAGTCACTCTACCATCCCTCCCTCTCGTCTCCTGCCTGCTGGAATCCTGGGCACACACGGGCATGTGCTTGAGGCATGTTTCCAGGCAGACTGGGCTGGGGAACAGAACTGAAGTTGGCATGTGGCTTCCACTCCTCAGTCTGGTACCCCACCAATTATGCTACACAGGCTGGGCCCTCTTCTTATCTTTGAATCAGATACTTCTGGGGACAACTGGCTGCTAGCTCTTGCACTTAGAGTTATAGACATATGCAGGAACTTCCAAGTTCATGGAAAATGTATATTATGAATAAAACTGTGCTTGGATTTCAAAATTTTTCATACCTAAATAAACTTGTATTTTAATTGTATTTTTTATAAACTTTTTGAGGTTCCTTGTGTTTAACTTCTGGCTCTCATACA